AGGCCGGCGCCGGAGCGGCCAGGAGCGCGCGGCGCTGTGGGCCGGGGTCTGGGGTGAGGGGGCCGCTGTCTCCGCCACCACCGAGGCCCAAGAGAGGCTGACGCTGCAGCCAGAGCCCGGTAGGCCGAGCGAGGGGCGGGGGCCTGCAGGATCGCGGACGGCCTCTCGCGAGAGCGGGCTGCGCCGGGCCCTGCCCCCAGAAGGGGCGCGTGCGCACCAGCCTCAGACCACTTCCTTGAAGGGGAAGGGGCGGAGACGGGCGGAAGCATGCGCACTCGCTCCCCTCCCGCCGCCCGAGTGCGCCTGCGCCAGGGACGCGGAACAGGGGTGCATAGGGAAGAAGGTAGAGAGGCAGCATGGAGGGGGGAGTGGCTGAGCTTGAAATAAGGTGGACAGAGGCGGGGCCAGACCACTCAGAGGCTGGGGTTACATGAGGCAGTAACATTCCAAAAAGTGTGGGAGACGACCCAGCTTTGATTTATTTTCTTCGCAAAGTAGGAGCGTTATACACACACGCACACACACACACACACCCCACCACCACCTTATCAAGTCAATTACCCCATTCTTTCACGAGACAAAGGTCATTTTAACACCAAAGAAAGAGGGAGCACGTGGCACCAAAGAAATGACAGTCATTTAAACGGAAAAAGATCGACTTCTTGAAAAACACCACGTTGCTTTATTTTGATCAAATCTTTGAGCATCTGTGTACATTTCAGGTTGGATGCCCATTTGGGATCCACGTGGGAGGAAAAGACTCAGCCAACACCGTCCTCCGGGTCCAATGCAGGGTACCTGGTCTCCCTCGCTCTGTCCTGTCCCCTTCCCATCAAGCCGATCCTCATTCTTTTAACAGTTTGCAGTGTCTTTTACGGCCCAGGTACTATACTGCAGGAATTCCTAGGGAGTGCAAACGGTTAAAGTGGGCTGCTAACTGAAAGACTAGAAGTTCGAATCCACCCAAAGGTGCCTCAGAAGAAAGGCCTGGCAGTTTACTTGCAAAAAATCAGCCATTGAAAACCATGTGGAGCACAGTTCTACTATGACACATATGGGGTCACCATGAGTCAGAGTTGACTCCAAGGCAACTCGTTTGGTACTGTGCTGGGCGCCAAAGCTACCGCGTAAAAATATAGACACAAAAAATATATACGCATAATTGCAAAATGTGAGGGTGCTTTAAAGAACAAAGATATAACCATGGCCTACCACCGATAAAAACTGTTCCCCACGTGACTGCTCCTTGACTTCTGCAGTCTGAGCTTTTCCAGCTCCACCCACACACCCATACCCCCCCCAAAATTTAGGACAATGCCCTTTTACAGCTCTGGGTGCTTCCACCTTCCTTCTGTACTGCTCAGTGATCTCTCTCTCATTTTATTTTATTTATTTTGGGCAATGTATAGTCTTTTTTTTTTTAATTGAGCTATAACTCACATGTAATAAATGCACTGTTCTCGAAGGTTCAATTCATTGCGTTTTTACAATTGTACATGCCCATGCAAACGTCACCTGAAACAAGGCATAGAACACTTCCATCACTCAGAAAGTTTCCCTAATGCTCTTTCCAGTAGGCCTGGTGGTCTACTATCAGAAATGGGCCAATGAAAACCATATGGATCACAACAGAACGTTGTCCGATATAGTGCTCGAAGATGAGCCTCCGAGGTTGGAAGGCACTCAGAAGACACAGTGGCTGTAACAATGGACTCGAGCAGACGATGGTGATGTGGCATCAGGAAACATTTCGTTCCATTGTACGTGGGGTCGTCATGAATTGGAGGTGACTCAACGACACCTAATGACATCAACAACAATTTCTGTCTCATGGCCCTGGTTACATTCTGGTCCACTCTGCTTCCCTTGTATTATGCCTTCCGTGTTAATTACTGGGAAGGAGCCCTGCTGGCTCAGTGGTTAAAGCACTTCGCTGCTAACTGAAAGGTTAGTGGTTTGAACCTGCCAGCCACTCTGGGGGAGACAGATGTGGCAGTCTGCTCCTGTAAAGTTCACAGCCTAGGACATAACAATGTCTGTATGAATTTTTGTCTCAGAGACTAACTTGAATTGTAAAGTTTCACTTAAAGTACGACCATAAAATAAAAAAGATTACGGCCTAGGAAGCCCTATGGGGGCAATTCTGCTCTGTCCTGTAGGGTCGCTATGAATCGGAATTGACTTGGTGGCAATAGGTTTGGTTTTTGTTTTTGTATTAGTTACCGAACTTTTTGAGGGCTAGGAAGATGCTGGACTTGTCTCCTCTCATCCAATTCAGCTCCTTGGATGTAGTTGATACTTGATATCATATATGCCACTCGAATGAATGAAGTAGGTGTTCTTGTCCTTGGAGGACCCTGGGTGGCACAAATGGTTTGCGAGTTTGCACCCATCTCTTAATCTAAAGGTTGGCGTCTCAAACCCACTCAGCAGTGCTGCAGAAGAAAAGCCTGATGATCTGCTTCCTTAAAGATGACAGCCAAGAAAACCCCACGGAACAGTTCTATTCTGTAACACGTGGTGTCACTGTGAGTCGGAATCAACTTGATGCCAACAGATTTGGTTTTGTTTTTCTCTTGTCCATGGGGAGGTGGGCTTCCTGCTAATCATCTAACTCTCAGCACATTATAGAACATGAGCTTTTATTGGTGACGTGGTTACAGCGCAAAATCACACCCTCTGCCCCCTTTCTATCTTTACTACCGAGCACATTTTGGTCTGCGACCTCTCCCGGTTACATATCTTTGCACTTATCATGGGTTCCAATAACATTTTTCCTAGTGCATCTGCTCCCTGGTCCCGGAGACCTTCTCACCTCAGGAAATAAACTCCTAATAGCTTTGCTGATAGATTCAATCCAAGGTGACATTTATCTTGTTCAGGCACAGTCTGCTATTACTATCCCCCGCGTACACTGTTCCTATCTTGAAATGCACCCTGAACTTTATCTCCCCCACCTGTGGGGTGGATTAACTGAAAGAATGGCTGACCTGAACACTTTGGAAGGCAATTCAGCCCTATCTTGAATATCCTATGACCTAGCAATTTTACCCTGGGTACAGCACCTAGAAAACGTTTCTCCGTGTTCGACCAGGAGACACGTACAATAATGTTCTCCACGGCAAAAATCTGGAAACCATACTAACGGCCCTCGATTGGAGAACGGAAACATACGTCCTGGTCTAGTCCCACAAAGAAAGAAAACTTACACATGACAATTACATAGAAGAGACTTAAAAACTTACTGTCATGGTTAGCTGCTGTCAAGTCAGCTCCTCTGGCTCGTGGCGAGCCCATGCACAACAGAACAAAACACTGCCTGGTCCTGCGCTGTCGCCATGATCAGTGGAGGATCGGATCGTTGTGATTTATAGGGTTAAAATGTCAAATTCTTTGTTATGTATATACTCACACGGTATAAAAATGAATAATTTTTTTAAAAAAAGGAGTTTTATTGGAGGAGGGGAGGGTGATAGGTCAAATTTATTTTTTGGGAATAGGCACAAATATGGATCTCTTCCAGTCAGATGGCCAGGTAGCTGTCTTCCAAATTTCTTGGCATGGACGAGTGAGGACTTCTAGTGCCACATCCGTTCGTTGAAACATCTCAACTGGTATTCCGTCAGTTCTTGGAGCCTTGTTTTTGGCCAATGGCTTCAGTGCAGATTGGATTTCTTTCTTCAATACCATCAGTTCCTGATCATACGATACCTCCTGAAATGGTTGAACACTGACCAATTCTTTTTGGTACAGTGACTCTGTGTATTCGTTCCATCTTCTTTTGATGCTTCCTGCGTTGTTTAATATTTTCCCTGTAGAATCCTTCAATATTGCAACTCGAGACTTAAATTTTTTCTTCAGTTCTTTCAGCTTGAGAAATGCCGAGCGTGTTCTTCCCTTTTGGTTTTCTATCTCCAGGTCTTTGCACATGTCATTATAATACTTTGTCTTCTCGAGCTGCCCTTTGAAATCTTCTGTTCAGTTCTTTTACTTCATCATTTCTTCCTTTTGCTTTGGCTACTCGACATTCGAGAGTAAGTTTCAGAGCCTCTTCTGACATTCATTTTGGTCTTTTCTTTCTTTCCTGTCTTTTTAATGACCTCTTGATTTCTTCATGTATGATGTCCTTGATGTCATTCCACAGCGCGTCTGGTCTTAGATCATTAATGTTCAATGTGTCAAATCTATTCTTGAGATGGTCTCTAAATTCGGGTGGGATATACTCAAGGTCGTACTTTGGCTCTCACAGACTCGTTCTAATTTTCTTTAGGACCAGATAGTAAATATGCACGATTTTGAGGGCCATAAGCTCTCTGTCACGGTTACTGAAATCTGCTGTTGTAGAACAAAAGCAAGACCAAAACCAAACTTGTCATCAAGTCGATTCTTACTCATAACAACCCTACAGGACAGAGTAGAACTGCCCCATAGGGTTTCCAAGGAGTGGCTGGTGGATTTGAACTGCCGACCTTTTGGTTAGCAACCAAGCTCTTGACCACTGCACCACCAGGGCTCCAGAACAAAAGCAATCATAGATAATACACAATGAAACGATTGTGGCTGTGTGTCAATAAAACTTTATTTGTTGTTGTTGTTATTAGCTATTTTCCAACCATTAGTAATTAACTCTGAGAGCAAGGTCAGACTTCTATAAATGATGGGCAGAGCAGAACACGCTGCATCTGGAGTATGTTGCTGTTGTCAGATGCCATTGAGTCAGCCCCTGACTCCTGGTGACCCCACGCACAACAGAACAAAATGCTACCCGGTCCTGTGCCATCCCCATGATCGGTTGTAGATTAGACCATTGGGATCCATAGGGTTTTCATTGGCTGGGTTTTTTTGTGTGTGTGTGTTTTAAGTGAAAGTTTACAGCTCAAGTTAGTTTCTCATA